AAAAAGGTAGCTATCATTTCCAGGCAACCTCTTCCTCGTTCAATTTTTTCATTTGCTAACTTCTGAAGTACAGAGATTTGCTGCATATTGTTTCGAGATCATTGGGGGTTCGTGATTCCCAATTTACGAACCATTGTTCTATACTTGAGCCATTTGAGCTGCAATCTTCTCTGTTTGAATGGAACAATAATGGATCATTGTACGCCAATTGAAATGTCTTTTAGCATCTCGAACATTGTACACGTTTTGTAAATAGACATAAGTTTTTGTTTTCATTGCGACTAATGATTATTCCTTAATATTCATACGTATTACAATCAAGTCATTATCAATATTTAGAAAAGCCTACTTACTGGTTTAAGGGAAAGGGAAACGTATAATACATGATATATTTTTGTTACTAAACAACCATTGTTGTTTTATTGCTTGATAGAGGTTACTTGTACATGATGCGTGTTTTAAAGGATAATTACCACAGATTTCATACAAATAAATTACACGCAGTCCATTCATTATTACCATTAAATAAAAAAAGTTGTCTGTACAATAAAGTATATTGGCTATTTTTGTATACGTAGAGTCATACTATGCCAAATGTAACACGCTTATATTTTATGTGTAACTTTATTGGTAAAATATTTTCTAAATGGCTATATTAGATTCCCAGTAATTATTGAATTAAAGACAAAACGAAAGCGTTCAGGGGCAGTCCATCATGGGCGTCTTGGGGGCTCCACCTACATCTTGGAGCCCAAGCTAACCTCACCTGCAAGTGGTGCGCCTGCTGATAGACGGACGAGGCTCTAGCGAGGGGTTTTCCCTTTCGGGGGTTGGGAGGTCAGACGGCAGTCGCTCCCGTAAAAACCAACACCGCCACATCAACTTATGGAAGTCAACAGAAGGATATGGCATAGGGATAGGGCGCCGCCGCAAAACGGCGCGCAGGAGCCTCGCCCGACTTCTGTGGCAAGTGGACTAGGGCTACCGTGTCAAGGGTGGGCACGGTTAAAGAGGCGAGCCCCTACCCATCACAGGAAGCTCCGCTTTGCCACGTGGAACATTGGCACGCTGACTGGACGCGCGAGGGAGCTAGCAGACGTGCTTTCCAGGCGGAGGGTCGCCGTGGCGTTCCTGCAGGAGACTCGGTGGAAAGGCAGCAGATCCCGGCTCATTGGGAATGGCTACAAGCTGATCTACACCGGTGCTCCTAGGGGCGTGAACGGGGTGGCCGTGGTGCTCTCCGAGGAGTTTCACGATCACGTCCTGGAAGTGAAACGCTTTAGCGACCGGCTTATGGTAGTGAGGGTGCTTATTGAAGGGGTCGTGACCCACTTGATAAGCGCCTACGCACCTCAGGCCGGTTGCAGCGACACGGACAGGGCGAGGTTCTGGGATCAACTCGGGGAAGTGCTGAGTGCCATTCCTTTGGCGCAGGCAGTCGTCTTGGGTGGCGACCTGAACGGTCAAGTGGGTGAGGCGTGCGAAGGGTTCGAGCGGGTCCACGGTGGCTACGGGTACGGCAGTCGCAACGCGGAGGGAGGAGACATCCTCACAACGTGTGCGGCGGCCGACCTCGCCATCGTGAACACGTTCTTTAAAAAGAACCCCGAGCATTTAATCACCTACAGGAGCGGCGGACACGCCACCCAAATCGATTTCCTACTCACCAGGAGACACCATATCAGCAAAGTGGCCAACTGCAAGGTCATACCAGGTGAGAGTCTCACTGCGCAACACCGTCTTCTTGTCATGGATCTCTGCGTAAAGCCGGTCGACAAGCCCGCTGAGCGCTGCCGACGCCAAATCAGATGGTGGCGGCTTGATAGTACCACGTCCCAGGAGTTCATCTCAGCGATCGGCGATAAATGCGCCGACACTGAAGGTGATCTAGTCCAGAACCACTGGGACAACATTCAGGCTGCCATATCTGAGGCGGCGAAAGCGGTGCTGGGCTTGTCCAAGGGTGGTCGCAAATGTGACAAAGAAACTTGGTGGTGGAACGACACAGTCAAGAGGGAGGTGAGGGTGAGGAAAGCCCTCTTCAAAACGTGGCAAGCGTCCGGATCTTCTGAAGACCGCGATGCATATAGGTATGCCAAACGTGCCGCTAAGAAAGCTGTAGCCAGAGCCAGACGGGACCACTTGCAGCCGTTGTACGACAAGTTGGAATCGTCTGAGGGGCAGAAGCTTATCTTTAAGCTGGCACGTTCGAGGGTCTTAGCGGCACAAGGTATTTCCAAGTGTCGCTGCATTAAAGACTCTCATGGCAACCTTATATGCGAGGTCGACGCGGTGAAGGAGAGATGGCGCTCATATTTCCACGAGTTGCTGAATCAGCAGCACGGAGAGGTACAGCCACCGGTCCTCCCTCCAAACCAGGGACTAGTGCGACCGGTAACGCCTGAGGAAGTCCACTTAGCTCTTCGTCGCATGAAGAATCGGAAAGCTGTCGGAGCCGATGGGGTTCCCATCGAGGCCTGGAAGGCAATGGGTCCCCGTGGTGTGGGCATCCTTACCGGCCTCTTTAATCGCGTGCTCTTCACCGGTAAAATCCCTAACCAATGGAGACTGAGTATTATCACTCCAGTCTTCAAAGGGAAGGGATCAGTGCAGGAGTGTGGCGATTATAGGGGCATAAAGGTCATGTCCCACACCATGAAGCTTTTCGAGCGTATAATAGACTCTCGGATCCGACAGGAGAGTGCTGTCTCGGAGGGTCAGTATGGGTTTCGGCCTGGTCTTGGGACCATGGATCCTGTTTTTGCCCTAAGGGTCATCATGGAGAAATACAGATTGAAGAATACGCCTCTGCATTTCATGTTTCTTGACATGCAGAAGGCCTTCGACTGTATCCCCCGTGTAATGATCTGGTGGGCACTGAGATCCAAAGTGGTACCAGAAGCTTATATTGACATCATCCGAGACATGTACCGCGATTCCGATTCCATGGTTAGGACTGCTGTTGGTGACACTAAACCCTTCCCTGTCACAGTCGGAGTTCACCAGGGCTCAGTTCTCAGTCCCTATCTGTTCAGCGTGGTATTAGACGAGGTCTCAAGCTCCATCCGAGACACGCATGAGCAACACCCGTGGATGCTTATGTACGCTGACGATATTGCGCTGGCGGATGCGGATAGAGGGAGACTGGTACGACGAGTGAATTTGTGGAAGGAGTCGCTTGAGAACGGCGGTCTGAGACTAAATGTGGCGAAGACTGAGTACATGGTCTGCAACGCTACAGATCCCCTACCCGTTCGCATAGGCGAAGACGTGGTCGAGCCTACGGGCCAGTTTAAATACTTGGGATCTGTACTCAGCGCGTCCGGAGACATCGACTGCGACGTCAGAGCCCGAATCGCAGCCGCTTGGGCAAAGTGGCGTGAGGTGACTGGTGTCATTTGTGACCCCAAGATGCCGGTCTATAAATCCATCATTAGGCCTGTCCTTTTATATGGTAGTGAAACGTGGGCCGTACTTGAGCGCCATAAGCAGGAGCTGCGTGTCACGGAAATGAAGATGCTGCGCTGGATGTGTGGAGTTTCACGGAAAGACTGTGTCAGAAACTCCCGCACCGCGGCAGCCTTCACGTCCGTGACATTGCAGATAAACTGCAAGAAAGCCGCCTACGTTGGTACGGCCACATCTTACGGAAACCGGCATGCTACGTGGGAAACAAATGTCTGGCTATGCCGCCTCCGCCGGGCCCCGGTAGAAGGGGCAGACCCAAGAAGTGCTGGCTTGACGTCGCCAAGGGTGATATGCGTGCCAAAGGTCTCACCACTAAGGATGCCGAAGACCGTGCAAAGTGGAGGAGAAAAGGCAGGAAAGCGGACCCCGGGCTTCGCAGCAACACTGCTGAGGACGCAACCGGGACAACGCTCAGATGAGAGAGAGATTTTATGTGTAACTTTATTGGTAAAATATTTTCAAAATGGCTATATTAGATTCCCAGTAATTATTGAATTAAACACAAAACGAAAGCGTTCAGGGGCAGTCCATCCTTTTTTTTTTTTTTTTTCCATCCTACCTTCCCTTGCTTAAATTAATAAACACTGTCCAACTATAAAATCAATTGGAAATTTTGTAGTCACCTTTAAGATATTTTCGTTGTGATACCTACTCGAATATGGGCTGTACAAAGGTCCAAATTCGCGGAGCGTGAAGTGTTAGCACTATTAGAGCTGTGTCTATTTTCCACTGAGCGTTTGGGCAAATTTCGCTGTTAACAGGCTTTGCCCGGTGTTTAATGGGTAGAGTCCACACGGCTAAAATAGGGCTATGTCGATTTGCCTCGTCAAATTGCTTGGGTAATTAATTTCACAGGTTTTGGTTGTACTTTGTGAAACCACAACCGAACTTTGATTACTTGTGTACAAAGTTTCATATATCGATATGTATATCAATAAACGGTGAAATTTAGGTTTTGAACTTTCGCTATGTTGCGAAATTTTATGGAACTAATTTCTGTACATACGAAAGTTTATTTAAAAGTCAACGCAAGCGCCATCACCACTTCGGTTTTTAATTATTTTGTAGTTAATAGTTATTATGAAGTTGTGATTTGAAAATTTACTGGTTTCTAAAGGAATTAGGTACGTCCAGTATGGAATAGTTGACTCTTTTTGAGGATGAAGAGCAAAATTGAGTAGTACAATAAAATTAGTGTGCAAAACAGTTTCGGCAAATTTTCTTATAGTTTTATAGACAAATATATTACGTAGGTATCACTTGATAAGCATCTGTACATGGAAACAGGGCAGACATTTGGTGAGTATTGTACTTTAATTGTAAAAATGTTTATTTTTCGTTTTTTCCACATTAAGCATGTTTAGTAAATTTTTTCCTATATTTAAGTAATGCCATGATATTTTAAGTCTAATTCGCTAATATGTAGGTAGTTATTAAATTATTTACGCAGTTGAAAATTGATAGGACAATCGTAATACAGTATAACGAGCTATGAAACAAAAGAAATTCAATTTAAAAAAGAGAAAACTCACCGCATACTGTCACAATTACGAAAACGGTAATATCGTACATCTTGGACGAGCTGAGAGTCTCTCTTTGTTTGTAGCTTAACAGCAGGTGTACAGCTGCACAGCTGATGCTTTTAGAGCAGATAGCTTCGATGTGTCTTCGCAACCTGGATTCGTAAAAACGCTGTTTGTTTAATATATATGTCTTGTTTTATATTTGAACATACAGTTGTCCTAAAACTCAAAGATAATCTGAGAACAGGATGTTGCCTAGATTGTAACAACCCTGAAATAAATAAATATATTTAAAAAATCGGAGTCATGTTTTTTTGTGATTTTAATGAAAAATGTTGAAAACCATTTTTAAGTACTACAGTTACCAATTTGGTAATTTTGCTGTTCTAGTTTTTGTAAGTGTAACCTACATAGCCCAGCTAATGAACACAATGCCAAAGAAAACCTGAATTGCTAAAGTTTCAGCACAAATTTTTTTAAATTTATTTAAATTAAATTATCTAACTCCGACTACATGGATATGAAACCTAAATTAACCTTATAGGCACTGAAAGCCATTTTCACTTCGAAAAGGTAACCTTTTTAAATTGGCATCTTTTCAGAAAAACCAAAATAATTATTTTTCCAAGAAGCATGACGTAGATCGATTTTATACCATTTTAGAATCTTGATTAGTTGCGCCAACTTTCGTAAGGAGTTAGTAAGTAAGCCATGGTAGTCTACATATTTTTAGTAGGTACATATTTTTTACAGTATGGGGTGTCAAAGTTACCTTGAAAAAAAATCTGCTAAAAATTTTAACAAAAAAATTGATTATATTTTTTTTTGTGTTGAAATTTTAGCAATTCGGGTTTTCTTTGGCATTGTGTTCATTAGCTGAGCTATTTAGGTTACCGTTACAGAAACTGGAACAGCAAAAATGGCAAATAGGTAATTATAGTACTTAAAAAAGGTGTACAGGTCGTACATTTTCAACATTTTTCATTAAAATGCTTATATCACAAAAAAACCATGACTCACATTTTTTAATTATTTTTTTCAGGGTTGTTACAAACTAGGCAACAGCCTGTTCTTAGGTTATCGTTGAGTTTTGATACACCCTGTATATATTAATGTAATTAAAATAGAAGGCTTTACAAAAGTATCAATAAGACAAATAAAATGAGAAAGATGATTAGAATAAAATCTTTTTTTTTGCATGTATTAACAAAACGACTGAATGGAACAAACATGAAATAAATAAAAATCGCAAAACTTGTCAAAGTTATAATTCTAGTCATATTCTAGTAAATAATACTTATTCGTGAGGTAAGGCTGCAAAGTTGTTGTTTGACGCGAGTGCTTGTATTGAAACCTGAGCAAGCGAAGGGTGCTAAGGTTCAAAAATAGATTCCTGAGCGTAGCGAGAGTTTCAAGACACGAGACGCAAAACAACTTTGCTGCCGACCGAAATACACAACTTTTCATCTCACTACAGCGAGGAAATGGCAGATGAAAGAAAAACAGTTGAACTGTAAAACATCTGTTTTTTAATTAGAAGAAAAAGGTTTATCTTTGGATGCGTTCTGAATTTACACCTCATCAATTGTCATTCTTGCTTGTACCTTTATTTTAAGTGATATAACACAATTAGTTATCATAGTCAATTTAATGTCAACAATAATAAGAATACAATATACCAACGGATTTATATTATATAAATAAGTGACGACAAATCGCGTAGTTGAACGTATCTTTATCTTTTTTTTTCATCGAAAGAGAAAATTAGGTGCACCACAATCCATCGCCAAGTTCGAATTTCAAAATCCTTTTCCACGCTAGCGTGCAAAAAACGCTTTTGCGCGAAGATTTCTATGAGAATGAAAGCCTTTCCGAGCTAGTGAGGTGAAAAAATTATATCATCTATACATAATAAAATCGTAAGTAAACTTAGTCTGTACTTCTGACATTGTAAAATAAAGTTAGTGCTATCTATTGACGACACACTATAGCCCAACACAACTTTTTTAAATTTTTGTTTAACTGTTTATCAGATTATCTCTACGTTGGTGCACGCTTATCTATATAATAATTGCGGAACGGCTTTCGGTGATATTTTGAAATAAGCTTGTGGTAACATTTGGTGGTTGTTTCATTTCAGTCGGTTCAGAAATGAGAAAGATATTAATTTTAAAGCGCATCTCGCGCTCGATTTACGTGACGCCTTGACCAAACAGTTGGATCGTGAAAATAATATGAGAACAAAATATTAGCCAGTACTACAAAAAAGACAACAATATATAACCTAGCTTCTGTATTTAAGTTAAAATAGAGTAACATTTTTTAAGATAAAAGTAAATTGAACTTTAAAAGGTTAAGACTATTCGTTAGCTAAATACTAAATTTGTCATATGAGGAACTTCATGGAGAAAAATTTTTATAACAACGTATTATTTGGTCGCATAGTTTAGGAGTTTGCGCGTATGAAATCGTGGGCACAGCTAGTATAAAGTAAAAAAAATGTTAGGGGTCTTTTGCACGCTTATGGGGTCAAAAGTACAACTTCAATAAAAAAAACTTCGTATGGCAAATAAATAAAAACAAACTCCAAAAAAATATAACATGTATGATAATCCTTCTCCTTCGAGTCAAACAAGAAAATAACAAAAAATATCTCAGATTTAAAAAATTAAAATAGAGCAAGCGTTATTGCACATTAAAGTACGTAACAAAAAATATTGAATAAAAAAGTAAGCGTACCTCTCGGAGATTCTGCACTTCGGAGATTCGCACAGCAGCTAGAGCGGAGTTATAATGGAGCAGCTACGCGGCGCACGACTTTTATATCCGCGGCTGGCGTACTCGTAGAACCTTCCGCTGGCCCGAAGCTGATTATATAGCTAGAACCCAATTGCACTAGAATGGTTGCCGGTTTCGTTGCAATAGATGTCCTTATCGTTGGGTTATATGTAGAATATTGAATTGTAAAAATGTGTTTCAAAATAAACCATCTCTGTTGATGATTAATAATGACAACGATGCAATTAATTGATTATTATATGTATAATAAAATCCATGTAATGCCACGGTTTTACGGAAAAAATAAATTATTAGAATATCAGTTAATGGGCCTCCTCTGTGGGGCGGGGCAAGTGGAGCTAAAAGGTGATATAAACCACTTTCTTTTTGTATATCTGACAATTCCCGTTAATCGAATGTAGCGAAGCAAAAATACATCCATGTAGCTTTTTGTGGAATTTGTTAATTAATAGGAGGTGGGTCTTGTCCTTTACGTACAATAAAAAATGTACACCATTGCACATTTTCGTATCACAATCCAGCAATTTTTAAATTTTTATGTATTGTTTGACTATTTATTGTGTATAGAGCAATGATCGGTTCAAGGCTTTAGAAATATTCGCAGTGTATAAGTATAAGTATAAGTATAAGTATAAGTATAAGTATAAGTATAAGTATAAGTATAAGTATAAGTATAAGTATAAGTATAAGTATAAGTATAAGTATAAGTATAAGTATAAGTATAAGTATAAGTATAAGTATAAGTATAAG